GACTCGGACGAGGAGGAGAACGATTCTGAGATTATTGTTTCATTTGATATGAGCAATGAGGTCTTCCAGAAGATATCAATGCCGGACGATTTCCACTCTCCTGATTTTTACATTAGTGGTCTGCACATTCTGAAAGGATCCCTTTCCCTTGTGCAGTGTCCCTGGTCAGCTTTTCAAGAGAAATTGTTGAAGGTATGGGTGAGGAATGAATCTGGTGTTAATGGAGTTTGGACTCAATTAACAACGGTAAGGTTGTTTCCAATTGCTAGAACACCATTGCTGTTTTGGAAGGATGATGATATTCTTGTGGAGTATAATAATGGGAAGGATCTGGCGTCATACAACGTTGGTACACAACACATTGATGATATTCCCATTTTTGCAGAGGTTATAAATGTAGGTGTGTCTTGTTACATTTGCTCTGCAGAAACTTATGTATGCAGTCTTGTCTCAGTTTGGGGAAATTAGTTAGCTTTGTGAAGGAAGCTTTATTTTGATAAAAGAGGACACAAATGTGTACATTCATTGCAAAATGTATTGTATCTTTTATGTTGGTGTTATCTTGTTTTATAATTTGATTTGATGATTTAATACCTTTAGTTATGTTTTATAAACATATATTTCAATCGAGGGTGTGGAGGGATATTATTTTGATTGGTACTTTGGTACGGAGGGAGCAGGGGTAAGAAATGTTTAAAGTTCAAAATGGTGTCCTTTCTGGGAAAATGGTTGGTTGTGTAGGAGAACTTTGAAGTGGAATTTTCCTGGTTTAATTATGTTCTTTATCTTCTTCAGGGAATGCATGTATTTGCAATTGGGATATTGGTTAGGAGTAAGGTGGGTTTGAGAGTTTAGGTGGAGAATGGCTTTATTTGGGAGAGGGTTTGATGGGAGGTTTTAAGGACCTGTCAGTTTAATGAAGGAGAAAAAATAAGCGAAGAGGATTTGGATCTTGAATGGAAATAGGGTTTATTCTGCTAAGAGGGCTTGTAGGCTTATAGAGCTCAGTGCAGGTGATTTAGAGAATTCTTTGTTGGTTTAGATGATGGCAACCCAAGAGGAGGTTGAATTGGGTTTTTGAAAACTTATGTAATTTTTATGTATAAATTGATGAACAAGCTCGTGCAATCCCAAATTCATATATTAAAGTGCAGAAATTAAAAGAATAAAAGAAGGGAAAACTCAAACACCATGAGTTATAATGGTTCGGTTACAACTTGTATTTAATCTACTTCTCAAATCACCAACTTGAGAGTCTACTTGGGATTCAAAGCTTCTCCTCCAAGTTCAAGGTGTAGAGGAAACCATTTGCAATAGATTTTTTAATGTCATCCACCTGCAACAAACTAAAACCTTATTACAATCCTCAAAAACCCAATCTTATATTACTAAGATGGTTTCTCTAGATCTAATAAGATTGCTCAATCTCCCTCTCACTTTCCTTGATGAATGAGAATGAAGAGAACAATGATCACAGATAATCAAAATGAAAAAAATAAGCACAAAAATTATGAAAAACTTTAACTTTTTTTTCTCTAAAAGATAAAAGCTCTTGTTCCTTTTCTCTTTACAAATTTAGCCTCCAATGACTTCTATTTATTATCTAAGAATGCTCAATTAAGGCTTCTAGCCATTGCCCTCAATTTGGAAAGAATTAAGTTTGATTTGAAATATAAAACTTGCCTCTTAAACTTTAGTTCCAAACTATCTTCCTTCGTTCCAGACTCGCTTTTAATTTTCTTGACTGTTGATGTTGAATGTTTACAAAAGTGTTGGACTTTTTCCTTGGTGTTAAAACTTTCTCATTGAGTCCTATAAGTATAAAAAACAATAGCCTCAAAAGTTCCTGCATTTAATCCTTGGTATTAGAAATTTTTTTTAATATAAAAGAAATTCGAAAATGGTAGCTTAAAAAATTCAAAACCCTTTTATTTGGTTCCACACCCTTATACACAAAGGTGCGTTTTGGAAAAACTTTGAAAACGAAACTAAATTTCTTTTGGAAATATATTTCATTCAACAGTTAGACATGATATTTAATCTTATAAATTTAATTCCAAAATTCCAAAATTAAAATGCAATTACTTGCTTTCATAATAATAAGAGAATTCTAAAAATTGACTTTCCAAAGATGAAATTAAATAATCACATCCCAATATTTGAAATTAACCCTTTCATATTTTGAATTGAACTTTTATCATCAAAATTAAAATAAAAAAATTTAATTAATGGAATAAAAAGTATGCAAAAATTAAATTTACATTTTTATTAAATTTTAACCAAAGTTATTGATTTCATACCGTACCAACTGGTACAGTCCATACGTATCAATTTCTGTATTAAATCGAAATGATACATGTTCTGATTTTATTTCGATCAAATTTCATTCGTTTTGATCAAGTTTCGGTTTACTAGCTAGTATTTCGACATACCAGCCGGTACACAAAAGTTATTCGGTACAATTCAATTCAAATTTTAAAAGGATAAATTTCATTTTTTGTCCTTAACTTTAATGTTTTACATAATTTTCATCCTTTAACTATTTTATGTACTTTTTTAGTCCATTCTTCATATTTTCTTTAGTCCTTTTATCAATTATTCCATTAAGTTTGTCTAAATATACACATTTTTAATCCTTTAATTTAAAGTGGATGGACGAAAAATATGCATATATTAAAAGCTGAGGGACTAAAAATGATCATTTTAAATGTGTTTTCAATTTATAGGAATATAATGGTTTTAAACATTGATATCTTTTATCTTATTTTAAAATTTGGTATTTAATTTATAAAAATATACATTTATAGCGATAAATCCGAAACGATACATAAAAAATTTTGATATTCAATATGTACCATTCTAGTAGCAAAACTGATACTCATGCTGGTATGGTATTGACAATTTTGATTTTAACACATCAAAATTAAGGTCAACAGTTTCCTTCTTGGACATTGATTAAGAGTAGATTTGTTGAGTGAGAAAATCCCATATCATGTGTATAATGAAGAAGTTTGTGAGTTAAATATAAAGAATGCTACTCCACCTATTGCCAATTCATTTTATATTGGATGCATGTCTTATATCGAATTCACGTACACAATTTTCATATGGTATCAGAATCCAGAGTTTGTCATGATTACTCCAAGTGCTGATGAGAACTTATAGATGAGATTTTATGACTAATCCAGGCGTGCATGAAGAAGACCAATCCAAGTGCTGATGACAATTTATGACTTAATCCAAGAGTGAATGAAAATGACCAATTTGCGTTGACAACTAGAAGGTGGTAATGAATTTTGAGATGGTAAGAAAACAAGGATAACTTCGAGCTTTAGTGATCTTCTTTGTATAGAAATGGAAGAATAGCCTGTTTAGTTGACAATCAAATTTGAGGTGGTGGATCTGATTCAATTAGGATTCTGTTTATGGACAAACGGAAATGTTGGATAACGTTTGTGTCCAGTTTCCATTTCAGAGACAAAAATCCATTAAAAAATGCATGCTGTGAAAGGACAAGATATAGGAAAACGACATATATGTGTGTGCATATATATATATATATCTATTTATAAAATTTATAATCCACGCCAAGTTCAATATTCACCATATTGAAACCGCTACTTATTCGCTCCACAAAACCGAGAAAACTTGGAAGAAAAACAAAGTATTATTTAGCCATAAGTGGGAAACAAAGGATTTTGGCTTTGAGAAGCGCTAAAGTCTCACCAGTGGATCCATTGTCTAATGTTCCATGCAAATCATGCGCCTCAGACCCTGGCCGGATAGCATGTACTCACATTGTTTGGCTTCTACAAATATATATTGGTGCTCAATATATAGAAAATGGTAAATGATGTGCAAATAGTTTATTTTTACAAATCATATTATTAAATAACTAGAAATAAT